CGGCCGCGGCGGCGGCGGCGCCGCAGCAGCAGCCGGCCGAGGCGGCGGCAGCCGAGGAGGAGCCAGCGGCTGCGGAGGGCGGGCGGCCCAAGCGGCGGCGCACCGCCCCTGTCGATTATGTTGCTCTGAATGCGCAGCTTGACGCGGAGGCGAAGAGCGCCGGCGGGGGCGCGGAGGGCAGCAAGCAGGGGTGATCTGGGCGGGGGACCTGGCCAGGGGTGGTTACCCCCAGGGACGGCGCCCGCCAGGATGCGCTTGTGGGTCAGCGATGGAGCTGCAGGGCTGCTTGACTCTTCCTGTCCGGGCGGTGGGGCCGCGCCTTACTCATGACGACGGGGCCCTGCCATAATGATGACTCACAGATCACTCGGACCTGCTTTTCATGACACATCACGCGATCGAGTGTAAGAAGTGTGCATTGTGTATATATACACTGCGTATACATGGCACACAAGCACCTTGCTCAGGTGTGCCATTATCCTTCACACGCAGCAAAACTCCTCGGTATGAAAGCAACGTGAGGGCAGGCAGGCGCGCTGGCGCCATTGCGGTTGGTTGCACAGTAGATAAGAGGGCGCGGCAGGAGTAGAAAAGGGCAGGGCCCCATAAAGGGGGGCGGGCGTGAGCAAGCAGGGCAGAGGCTGTACATCCGGTTGCGCGGCGATGCGTGCGTACAGCTCCGGCGCGGTCCGCAGGTGCAGCTTTGAAAAAGGCTCGAAATTGTATCAAAATCACAAGCGCGTGGGGGCAAAATGTTTGGGCAAAACTTGATGGGCGGCGCAGGCAGCGCGGTAGGACCGCCTGCTGCTGGCGTGAGCGCCAACGCTTGCCACCCACAGCTGTGATACATGCGGCGGCCGCCCTGCTGTTGACGCGGCGAGCCACGGGCTGCGGAGGCGTCACAACTGCAACCGCTGCGCCCGCCGCTCCCACCACTGCGCAGCCCCCCGCAGGGCCGCCGCCCACCACTGCCGCGGGCCCCGAGCCTGGCCGCCCCCGCAGCAAACGCTTGCCGCCGCCGCCGCCCGTGTCGCGTCATCGCCGTCGTCACCGTTATGCGCTTCCAGCAGCTCTAGCACCTGATGCGGGTTGAGAGAGGGCGGGGCCGAGCATGGGTTTGCACAAACAAGCCACTCAATGGAGATGCGATCCGTCTGGGTCGGGGTGGGCGTGCCTGCCATGCAGCTGCCGCCAGCGGCAGCACCAAGGCAAGCCCTCCAGGCTCCTGCCGTGCGACCGAGGCTATGAGGCTTGACAGCCCTCTTGGCTGCGTGCCGGCCTGCCCCATTCACAGCTCCCTCGGGCGCATTGAGCGCTTTGAAAATACATGCTACATGGGGCCAAAGCATCACCCCCATGGGAAGCAACCCCTGCGCCACATCCCATGCAATGTCAAGGGACAACAGCCACTCCCCAGCCGTGGCCCCACCTGGGCGTACACCCTCTTGTGGGCGTTCTCCCCCCATATGTAATCCAGGTGCTCGTAGTCGGCGTCGTTGTGCCACTTGACGATCCTGCCGCGTGGCAGGCGGCTGAGCAGCAGCGCCACATCAGCGGGGTCGGCCAGGCGGTCCTCGCCGCCTGCGGCGGTTGGGGCGGTTGGGGTGGTAGGTGGGTCGGGGCGGTTGAGTCGGCTGGGGCGGTCGGGGCGTTGAGTTGGAGAGGGTGTCTCAACTCGTCGACAATGTCGTTACGTCTTTGAATCCTGTCAACCCATGATGAGCAGTTGAGCGCGTTGCTCTTGCCAGGAGACATGCCAAAACGCAGCAGGGAACCAACAGCTGGACCAACTGGCCAGATGCATGCCAGGCTCGCGCCCTGTTTGACCCGCGGCAGCGCGATTTGACAGCGGGCGCGCACCCGTGAACAGCGCGAGGGGCGTGTCGATGCGCGAGAGGTCGTAGCGCGGCGCCGTCAGGCGGCCGTAGCGCTTCTGGTTGCAGTCGCGCGGCGCGCCCAGTATGGTGGTGCAGCGGGTGCCGTAGTCAAAATACGACATCACCCCCGGGTCGGAGGACCGCATCGCCTGGGATTGTTCGACCAAAAACGCGGGCATGAATGCTGACACTGCCCCGCAGGCAGGGGGTCCTTGCTGTGGCGCGATGCAGTCGAAGCACGTGAGCGCAAGGGCTGCACAGCCTGCAGATTAAGAACGGCAAACCTCGCCGACGGCCCGAGCCGGAGATGCCTTGGACCCGCTCTCGCAGGCAAGAACGTGCGCCTCGCAGGCGCGCCCCGGCCCCCTCGCTCGACGCCCCTCCGCCCCTCGACCCGGCCGCCGTCCCACCTGGCACCAGTGCGCCATGTTCTGGACGCTGGTGCCCGAGGGCGTGTAGTTGAGGTACACTGGGAGGCGGTTGACGTCCACATTTGCGTCGTTGTAGCCGCAGATCATGGCCAGGAGGTTGACGCACAGCTGTGTTTGGGTGCACACGCGCGATGAAGGGGAGGGCAGAGGGGGGAAGCTGTGGATTCGCATCAAGTCGGGTCGGTGGGCGGGCGGAGGTTGGAGAGAGAAAGATGCATGATTGAGGGGCCTCGGAGGGGGTGGGGTTGTGGGGGTTGGAGGGGGCCGTCGGGGTAACGGAACAGCAGGGTGCCCGTGCGAAAGCAGGCGGCGATACCAGGGTGGTGGGGCAAACCACTCGGGTGGAAAACGCCTGCGCCGCGTGATCAGCACACCGGTCCGGACCCCCTCCGTGGGAGAGCCCCGCATCGCAAACGGCGTGCGCCCACGCGGGCTGCGCCGCGGGAGCTCTGGCCCAATGCGCCGTGCGCGTCCCCCCACCCCTAGCGCCTCACGTGCGGCTCGAAGCGGCACAGGCTGCCGTCCAGCCTCGAGAGGATCTCGCTGGAGGGCAGGAACTCCCTTATGCCCAGGAGGGTGAACACCTGGGGGTGTGCACGTGATTTGGGGCTGCGGGCTCAAACCTGCAAGTGTTGACCTCGAACCTGAAAGTCAGAGACGGCCGCCGCCGCCGGGGCCATGCCGACAGGCGGGGGTGCGGCGGGGACACGGCGGCGGGCCGTAACGCCAGCAGCGACGGCGGCAGGGGGTCGAGCGCGTTGCGCGGCAGTCTCCCTTCTCATCCGAAATGCAGGGATGAGGGGGGAAGTTGAGCTGTGATGTCTCCGGCCGCACCTGGTCGGTGTTGAAGTTTGCCAGCGCCACCAAGGGCGCGGAGCCGACGTGCGTCGCAAACGCCACCGGCGCCAGCAGCACGGCCAGGTGCACGCGCTCCGCCCACTGCGGCTGGCTGCTCAGCAGAGCCATCACCACCGTCGTGCCCTGATAAATAAAGCAGCGCGCCTGAATGGTACATGGCAGGGGCCAACCGCGCTGCGGGGCCATACCCTTTGACCAAGCAGGGCGCGCCAAGCAGGGCGCGGCAAGGCTCGGCGGCTCTCAAACCCCGCGGCTCCTCTTGTCAAACGGCTTGGGTCCAAGCCGCCGCCGCCGCTGCGCCCTCTCCGACAACTGTGGACACGCCCCAATTCCCACAAACCCCCTGGCGGGCCCCTGTCGCCTGCCGCTCAACACTCCATTCGCCAGCGCCCAAGCCAGGACCTCCCCGTGCTCCTCACCCCCAAAACCCCGTCGATTGATGACGCCCCGCCAAGCTTCAGCGGGACGGAGAAACGGGCGCCGCCAACCCGTCTATCCTCAGTCCACCCTGCACAGACCTCACGCGCACCCACCTGCGAGTGGCCGACGTACGCGAGGCTCTTGGCCCCCGTGACCTGCAGCTCGCGCTCCAGCATGGCCGGTAGGTCCCTGGCCGCGATATCGTCCCAGGTGAAGGCCCAGAATGCCGGGTCCAGGAACCCCAGGGTGGTGTGGTTGCGGGAGTAGCTGTTGGCGCGGACGTTGCCGAGCCACACATCGTAGCCTGGAGGCGGTTGGGGGCGGTTGGGGGC